ATTCATTGAAGGACCATCACTTGATAAAACTATCTGATCCTCTTTTGACGAATATGTATCGCTGCTTTCTCCATAACTGCTTTCAACTAAACGATTATAAAAACAAGCAAATTTCTCTTCCAGTTCTTTACTCTTAAAACCTTCTTTTCTTGCGCAGACAGGACATAGTCCGTCCACGCTTCTTTCTTTTGACAAATTCCGACCCAGTTCATGTCTGGTTAGAGCCTGTGTTCGTTCATCGGTCACGGCTCCTTGTCTGCATAATTTTGGTTTATTTTCTCTTCCTGTTCGAAAGGATTCTCGGTTATTTATTATTGCATTGCCCAGCAATGGTCTAGATGATCGAGGTTGAGAGGAACTATCACTGCTAAAACTTGAACGTGACATGTGGAATGTCGATGTTGATGAATCTTGACGGCTACAAGACATGTTGGAATCTTCCGATGCTTTCCTTTGAAGTGACCAAGAACCTCGTCGTGTTTCATGATCCAACAAACGAAGTGGTATGTTCCCTAAAAAGATAAACAAGTAAGTAAAATTTCATGGTGAAGTGTTATGACTGTAAGAAGTTATAGGTAGTGTAGTAAAAATACCGAAATCTTTAACTAGAATATTATGCAGAAATATTGAAATAAAAATGTACTTTGATGTCATTCTATAAAATACTTATAAATGTTGAAAAAATAATTTGCTTATAGGCATTTAATTCTTCATAAGTTTCGAAATTTGATAAATTATGTAAAGAATTGTCCCTGTAGCTTCGTAAAATTTCGGTATGGATATCAGTATTACTTCCGATGAAAAGATAATAATATTAAGTTAATTACAAAGGTTTCTAAAGAGAGTAAGATGCCAACTGCTAAAAAACCACATCTCGAAAAGATAAATTTAGTAATTAAATAGTAATAAAACAGTGCATAATGAAATATCGTACAAACAATAGTTTACAAAAAATAATTTGCGAAACTAAATTCAGCTTCCCATGCCAAAGATAGCAGCTAAATTATATAAGTTTTAAAGTATATACGTATGTTGATCAAACGATGTAAAAAGTATGATGACCTTCGGCTTAAGATTCAGTACTAGCTGTGAGTTGACTGATATATCAGTGATGCAAAAATCAGGCAGTTAAAACTTAAAAAATGTCACTTCAGTATCAGATATCCAATGTTAAGCGCAACATATAATTAAAGTTAATCACGACATGAAATATAAACCGAACACGACATGAAAGCGAAAGCAAAATTTAATAAATTATGGATGTTTTGGAACACAACTCAAAAAATACATTTAAAAAAAAAAAAAAAAAAAAGGACTCTGCTATATCTCCCGTTCTACTGGGCCGATTGACAAAATCAAATGCGTTTTTGTCTCGAAGCGGACTTAGGATTTATTAAATTATATATGCATTCTAACATGACATTTTGACACAAAATCGGACTTTTTCTGAAATAATATGCCTGTTTCCATATTTCGATTCTACGCTAATATGCCAGATTAAATTATGTCATAATTAAATAACCAAAATCTTGATGAAACCAGTTTTCCTTTGCTCTCTACCTTCAAAATGCTAGCCTCTAAGACTGATAAAGCTCTGAAAAATACTGATGAAATGGATTGATGAATTGGATTATTAAGTTACGGCAAGCAGGGATATCTGCCTAAAGGAGGATGCTTAGTGAAGAACTTCGAAGGAAACCAGCTGGCTACACGTACACATGAGAAGTCACGAAACGCACAGCAACCAGACGTTTACCGGATTCGAGCTCGGAGTGCATACCAAGGGTTCAGCGACTTTTCGCATTTGGGGTCAGAAAACAACTTTTTCAAATGGTGTGCGAAATAACCCATGATTGCCTCGAAAAGAGCGGAATAAGCAGAATGCCTGAAGAGAGAGAAAAGAGAAGAAACATAAAGTTTTGTGTAAATTAATATTGTATTTTTTTAATTTAAGATTTTAATCTTATGATATTTGATTCTGCGATTCAAACTAAATATTGGATTAAAATATGAAATATTTAGAAACCCAAAATGTAGGAATAGACTGTTAAAGCAATGGTGCCAATGATAAAAAACGTTAGAGCAATAAATGCATGTCATCCTAAGTTCAATGTCGGTTATACATCTCTATTATTATAATATCTGTTTGAAAGGAACATTGAAAGGCGTGTTAATGTGCTATACGCAGTTGCAACCCCCCAATTGTTTTTTTTCCTTAGTTTTTCCCACCCCCCACTGAGATTTTCCGCGCACTGGGCCCATAATATTTACGCAAATTTTGTAGGACCCCATACGCATTGCGAAATCGACAACGCGGATGTGAACCGTCAATTTTTTAAATGGTACTGTATATACTACTGGCAGTTTTGGTCATTAATTAATTTAGTATTTTAAGGGACATAGAACAATGTGAAAAATTTTAAATAAGAACAGGCGAATATGGAAGAACACGTGCAAAGCAAGCGTAAAATGAAAGTTTATGTATAAAAAGAATGCGTCGCAAACAGTTTTCGTTTTTTCTTTGTATTGTCTTTATCTTATTTTTTTATTTTCAGACATAGATGTAAAATTTTGTAATGAAAATGAATTATAAATTAAAGCAATATCAAAACTGCTAAAATTTTGGCAACCTCCTGCTGCAGGTCTCGCGACCCCCAACCAACAGTTTAAGAAACTCTAATTAACAACAACGAGTCTCGTTTCTTTTTCACCTGTAATAAAAAACTGAAGGTGACGCGAAAACAGATGGAATCCTATTACGAATGTTAAATGCCAAATTGCTCGAATGGCATCAAAGTCTGGGATGTCATTGCCATGAATAACTAGTCTTATATTAGAGTGCAAATATAGCTACGATGATACATGAGGTGAGTGCTTGGCCTAATCTACCTCCTTTGCTATTTGCAGCAAAATAATGCACGACCGCAGAAGGCAATCATCAGCAGACAAGCCCCTGTATTCGGATGTTTCTTCGGTCACCGGAACCTACAGATCTCAAATTTTTCAAGCATGTATGACGTGATTAGCTATCATTTACTTGCTTGGCCACAACCTAGGTCGAAAGGAAGAACTGTAGAGGATAGTGTAGCAAAACGCCATCCATCCCTCAGAGCACTATCTTACACGTCGATTTTATTTTCCTCTTGAAGACTTGGTTGCTGTAGCACCGCAAGAAGTCGTCCTTTTCCTACTGATCCTCGCCCACCAGCGGCCGAGTGGTAAAGTCGGGAAAGTGGTAGTTCGGTCCGAGTTCGAATCGCGCGGAACGGGCTGGTGCATGGGTGTTTTCGTGGTTTTCCCCATGTGGAAGGGTATAAGAGACAGTTCCCTTCGAAAAGTCCCCACGAAGGCATCCCTTCCCTTAGGTAGATAGCCCTAGTATGCTTTGCCATAATTAAATACACCAACACCACACGCTTACTGATCCTCCTGTATATTCGATCTTATGCTGTACTTATATATGCGTTCTCCGTCCATCTGACAATTTTCATTTATGCATGGTGTTTCATTTTCAGTGTCAAGCAATCTTGAAGACGACTTTTGCCATGCAAGAGTGTTTTAAGGCTGGCTCGTAAGTTCCTTATAGGATTCAAACCAGAAAATATAGCTGCCAATTTTTTCGCTCAATTCCATCGGTTTCTAGAAACTCATAAATCATATTTGCTCAATATGGATGGAAGTTACCATCCACAAAAGAGCCATGAACCTCTAAAATGTTACACTTATGGTTTTAAGTTTTCGTCTCGATATCTTGCTCATATCCTATATGAAACACGTACAGGGTGTGTGTTCAATATTCGTTACGCCTTCTTACTACTTATCACATCTACACTGTAGCAGCAGTCGTATTGCTTATTGATGTCGGGAATGTTTTGTGTTCCTGTCTTCCTCCAGATAAAAAAAGAATTTTGAATCAGATGTTAAACTGGACGCTAAACAGAATTCAGACCCATTGTTGTGGAGAAAGTCAGAAGACAAACAGGGTTATGCTCTTCTTAACGCTGACATCACTTATAAAATGGGAGAAAGAAGCCACAAAGGAAGTAGTTACTTTTGAGAAGACAAGCAATCACTAACGTCACGCAACAGCAAGCCATTTAGTATAGTAACCTTGCTTGTAGACTCCAGCTGTTAAAAACACAAATCATTAATTGAGCAAAACATTTTTGTGCCGGGTAATAGGACAGAATGAAGTGTTCAACTTAATCATAATCAAAAATAACTTTTTTTAATCGTTGATTGTAATTTTATTGGAGCTTAGTCCAACATTACAACGCGCTGTTGTTACAGTTATGAACGTGGTAGAAGTGTAGTGTTTGGCGTAGAAAGTTAGAAGCGGTTGTTGCTCAGAATAGGTTTTTCTGCGGCTTTGACTGGAACGGGTTGGAAGCTGGGTCGTCCACATGATAGCTCTGAAGGAAAATTTCAGAAGGTCCTAAGAAACTCAAATTGAGGAGCGAAGTATGCTGTAATTTTGGCCTCCAAAAATTCAGATTTGTGGTTTTTATTCTAACAATGGAAGTTACAGTAGACCTTTTTCACTTCCTTATGTTTAATATACAGTAAGTGCTTGCTGATCCTGAATTTTAAAAAGCCGTCAGTTTGTCGTATGTTTACAAAACTACAGTAACAAAGGATTTTGTAAATGTCCATGATTGCAGGTCCGGTATTTTTTTTCTTTTTTTTAGCGGGGGGAGGGGGGTCAAACATTTATCCTTAAACTCCGCCCTTTCCTTTCTAAGTTCGTGAAAAACTATCTTTTCCCTTTCTTGTTTTAAATATTTGTCGATAAAATTAAGTTCTCAAGTGTAAAAGACAAAACATCGAACCTTCATTCATTTGCCTTTTATAAAACTTTTTGTGAACGCTTTTTTACTCATCTGGGGCGAAACAGTAGATCTTTTAAGATCAGGATAAGTGCACACATAAGATATGTTAAACAGAAATAAGTAGAAAAGGTCTCTATTAAGTCTTATTGTTGCAATAAAAGGCAAAAATTTGAATTTTTGGAGGCAAGATAATAGTTTGCTTTACAAATGGATTTGTTAGAAGCATCTGAAATATTCTTTGCAGAGCAATCTTGTTAATGTTGTACTTTCCTTCCTTATTGTCGGAGATGTGGAAACACCTGTTCCGAGTCCTGCTTTTCTTCTTTTGACTAAACACTACAACTTCCTCATCAGGTATTACACTCTGATAATGTTGTATTAAGTTCTAATGAAACAGAAGTTAGCGATTTAAGAAAAAAAGTGTTTTCCTAGGTTCCTTTTGTTAACTATTAGGTTGAACTTTTTAATGTTTTACAAACCATTCATTTTTGGCCAAAAATCCATAAAAATAAAGGATGTAATTATGTCTCCTGTATACAGATTGAATCGGTACAAAATTTTCAATGACCGTTAAAAACTTCTAAAATTCAGCGGTTTACTAGTCAAGTTTCAGTTAAAATGGGCAATTACGGAGAGAAACGGATCTCAAGAAGCAGCTATTTTTCTTCTGTAACCTTATCCAC